TTATTTGCACTCACACTTTGCCACATTCAGCAGCTGTCCCATCCTGTATGTGTTGTTTTGGAAAGATGCAGCGTAGTGAAAGGATAAAATGCTTTATGTTTGCCTCTGCAGAATGTCAGAAGCGGGGCGGAGAAAGACGCCTCAAGACATGGCAAAAACACAAACAACAGAAAACAACCCAGCAGCCCACCCGGCATGTTGTCAAGGTGACCTGGCAGCTCTTCTACCCTCTGCTGATGGGGGACAGATGTTATTTATGAGAAATGTCCAAAAAGAATAACTTACCATATTACCTTTTTTCTTGTTTTAAAGGACATAAAAATCATAAATTAATTGCTAATGTTTGTAAGGATAAAAAAGAAATTCATCACATTTAACTTCCATTCTTTAAATGACTCAGACCAACATTTAAAAAGACATTTTAGGAGTCTGGCTCATTTTCTCCTTGACAAGATGTTACATTTTGATTTAATCTAATTGCAGAACGCACCCATGAGTCAGGAGAAAAGTTTAAAGGTTTATTTACAAAAGATGTCAAAAAAGTAAAAAAACCCAACAACAATCTACTGGACTTTGTTCTCCAAGCCTGAAGACATTTCGCTTCCCATCCAGGAAGCTTTTTCAATTCAAAATGTCAGGATTAGTGTTAAATTCCAGCCAGAGGATGTTCTGATCTTTATATTGAAGACACCAAACAACCTCTCCACAGACACATAGCTCAACACAGATGGGCTACATGGACTACAAGACTCGGCTGTCCATCTATACCTTAAGGACAAAAGACAGTCTTTTGAGGACCAGAATGTTCACATTTTGGACAAAGAATACAGGTGGTTTGAAAGGGGTGTGAAGGAAGCCATTTATGTTAGGAGAGAAAAACCAACCTTAAACGGAGGGGCTGGACTCAGGTTTCAGCTCTCAAAAACCTACAATGCAGCAATAGAGTCGATTCCTTTCCACTATCATCTCATCCCTCATCGCTATGCAGAGGGCCAAAACATGTCGCCTGGTCAGCCAGACCAACAATGATCCTAACGCATTCAGCGGCATAGGTCAATATTGGGTATTATAGACCAACAAAGACATCAACGACTCCACATTACTTAGGGCTGGACCTTTTTTTTTGGTTCAATTTGAATTTTCTCTAAGCCATAACAAGGCTTTGCTGGGCTACTCTATAAAGCTTGGAACTAAAACGCTAATTCTGACATTTTTAATTGAAAAAGCTTCGTGGATGGGAAGCGAAACATTTTCAAACTTGGAAAACAAAGTTTAGTCGATTGTTTTTTAACTTTGTTGGAATGACTATGACCAGGATGACCGAGAATCTTCACCAGCATATTTTACAAAAAATGAACAATAATCAGGACCTCCAGGAAACAGGGGCTTGGACTGAAGGACAACACATTATACTTTTTTAGGCTGTGGTTGAATGTCTACTAAAGTAAAGTAGGAGGGGGGTCTGATAAGGGCCAGGGTTCTGCAGTGAACAGTCCAAAATTTTGAGATGATCAGAGGTGCTAGAATCTAGACACAGCCTGCTAAGACTTGGAACCAGAGTTGCGGGTGAGCCCTGAGGCTGGGACTGACCTGAAAAGAGTTTCAAGAATTTGATAACCTGGAGACAAGAGAACATGGTCAAAGGCACTCTAGGAAAAACACACAGGAGAAAGAGATTAAGCTCAACCTCTGGCACAGAGGTGCTGGCATGGAGCGCTTCTTAAGCTTCTGTGTTGATGATCTGATAGAGAACACCTGTGGCTACAGTACCTGTGGCTGCCTGCTGGCAGCGCCTGCTGGAGGAAAGGTGGTACTGCAGAACCAGGCTGGAGATAAATCTTTAGACTCCCACACTCCTTTAAGAAGATTGTAATAGAAAATGAATTCATTCGCACTCCTAAAAAACTTGCATACAATCAAACTATATGTCACAATTTCAGTGTTCAGTTAACGTTTGTTAGTTTGTGACCCAGCTCGGCTCTATCTGTGTGGATTAGTTGTTCTCCTTCAGCTGCTCTCTCATCACTACGCATCAGCTGCTCCTCATGTTTTCTTATCTTTAGCTGTTCTCTGCTGCATTCTTCAATCAAACCGCATGTTACTAAATCTCCCTGTTTCTCTACCATCTCGTCTTGACCTGATTCTCCCTATGCAAGACCTCCTTGTATTATTATTATTTTCTTTTTTTTTAATTATTGTTATTAAAGAACTGAATTTGTAACCCAGTACAATCTCTACAATTCTAAGGTTTATCAGGCCAAAAATGAAAAGATACTTTATTTGGCGATGAAAGGCTTATTGAAACCTCAGATCTAATCAGGATGAGGTGGCTACACAGGTGTTTATAAATGGACTAAAATACTTTATGCTCAGGAGCAAATTACCAACAAATATTTCCTCTGCTTTTGGGTCCATCTTCAGCCAAACGTCTACTGTAATAAAAACAGAATTTATTTGATAAAGGACAAAAGAGTAGATCACAACTTCATAGCTATAGATACACAGCCCTCCTCCGTAACTCGGTGAGCCACGAGTCACGACCTTCAGTGTGCAATAGAAGAATTTGGGTCCAACTGTGAATTTGTCAGGATTATCATCAACTCCTGTATGTTTGAGCCCAAAATGTGGATCGTTCTCTCCAGGTCACCCGATTCTATAAGTGGAGGAGCTGGAGTATGAATGTAAGGTTTGCTAATCTTGTTCTGAAGTCTAAAGTTTGTTCTGTCTATTATTCTACCTATTACCATAAACAAATCAGAGATAATTCTTGTTTTATTATTGTTACAAGCAAAGTGATGCAAATATGTAAAGAAATACTTTGTATAAATTGAAAGTTGAAAAAAATGGAATCAAGAAAATTAACTTCTAATTAAATTTTTTTTTTAATTCTCAGATTATGTTATTTCCATTTTTATTTTAAACTATATATTTTTACATTTTAACTATATATTTAAAATCTCTACAACTTTTTTTTTTTTTATAAAAAAATAGAAATAGAATATAAAAAAAACGTTTGAACATTAAATAAAAAATATATGGAAACTAGAAAAGTTACTCAGAAAACGTTTTTTTCTATTAAAACTCATTTTTAATTTTAATTTTGGATTCAATATTTTAAAATCCCTATTAATGAAATGTCTTATTTTCAAATTCCCATTGTATAAAATGTGTTTTTTTTTTAGTAATTAAAAATTCACTCTAAATATCTGTAAATTACACATCTTGTTTCAGAAACAATCATTCAATAAAAGAGTTTTTCCTTAACCTTTTGCAAGAGAAAATAAAGCAACCTGCGGGTTCTGAAGGGCCACACAGAGGTAAGGACCCAGGAAGCTGCTTTACAAGGAGACGCTGTAGGTAGAAGCAACAGTTCTGTGATGGTACCATCCTTCTCTCTGTTCTAATTATGTGGAGTCAGAACAGAAGCAAGAGGCTGTGATGGCTCTGCATCATTACCTTTAATCAACCATAGATACCCCGACACACAAACAGCAGCCTGACACTGCACAAATAGCTGACATTCATCATCATCCAGCCAGGCATTTTAATTACTGCAATGAATCCCGTGCATGGCTAAAGTCACCTGCTGAACAAATAGGTTTTACTCGTTTATACTCCGGAAAGTTGCATTGGTAGTCTGATTTTAAAGTTTCTAACATTTTCTTGCAAATATTTCACCACCCATGGAAATTTGATCTTTTATCAATTTTATAACTGCAGATTTATGTGGAGTTTAGCGAGAATTAATGTCATACCAGTTCAAGGTGGTAAATATTGTGGTAGAAAAAATAAAGGTAATGTTCCAAATTTTTCACAAACAAAATGCCCGCTCTGCAGCCTTCAGCAACATGAAGCCTTTTTATTTAATTAAGGTTGCAAGTCCTTTGGGGTAAGAGAACAACCTTGCTCATCTAAAGACTAAAATATTTTCCAGTTGTTTACCTGTTACAATAGCTGCAATTTACCTTGACAGCAAACTGCATTCAGGTTTTTTTATTGTGGCTTTCTCTCTATTTCTGCCATCTGAACATGGTATTTCTACATTAAATAAGCCCTCAAATCTAACCTCAAGTGCATAAAACACACAATAAACCACAGTTTACCCATCTGCACGAATTTACATGACAGATAAAAGATGACTATTTCTGGTTATTGATCACTTTGAACCCTTCTGTCATGCAAAACATCAGCAAGTTATATTATTATTTCAGGTCTTGATTGCTGGTTAAGCTCCTGGAACAGCAACATTTAGAGAAATCAAACACTCTGACTAATTTCTCATCTTTTAGTATAAAGACAGCATTTGCATGTTTAATTTGTTTATTTATGAACCTCAATTTTAATTGGATAAACAATTATTTCAGAAGGGAGAGATAATTAAACAGGGATGATTCATGCTTTTGCTTTGTAATTATATATTAAGAGACATTATGAAAAGGCTTTTGGTAAAGAAGATTTATGAGTTACAGCGACTCCCGCAGGTCAGTAGTTATATTGCAGTTAAATGGTAGAAGATGGGCATTTTAATTTAATAAATTACAAAACGAATAAAATCCATTCTTGCAATTACTAGTCTTTTATCTTATACTTTAATAATAATAACAACAAAAAGAACAATAATAATAATAATAATTATTATTATTATTAGGATTATATTTTTATATTAGTAATGTTTATTTTTGACAGGAACAGACCAATATTTGTGTATTTATCGTTTTTAATCTAACCTTAATACTTCTGTTGTTTATTTACATTATCTGCCACGATGTTATTCCTATAAAACTCGCATTTGTTAATTTCTAATTAAATATAGCTTGTCTGTGAGAAACAGATTATCGCCAAAAAAAACTTAATTAAATAATAATAATAATAATAATAATAATAAAATAAATTTAAAAATACATCTTTCATGTAAAACCAACCATTCTAAATAGAAAACGCTAACTTGTTAACCGGTGCAACTCGTTTGACAGAAAGATTGTCCTTCTCCCCTTGCCGTAGCTGAACCAGGAAGTCAGCGACTTTCATTCATTCATGACGTTTTACTGCCTAAAACTAGCGTTAGATCCAAAATGCGTCGGAAACATGAACCTCAGCCAGCAGGCACATATCCTCCAAACGCGGATAAAAAGGTAGTTTAGTGTTTGTCGATGATATAAACCTGTTGTCTGCAGAAGGAAGCTGATAGTTCAGTTCATCTGATGCTCTCAGGAACAAAAATGTTTAATCAACTTTGTTTAAAACATTTATTTGCCACTGATCGTTTTGTAAAGTGTTCCTCTTTTCCCTTTTAAAATAAAAACTGCAGTGCTACTAAAAATGCGACAGTATATTTTTAATTTAGGAAACGTATATAGATAAATACATATTGTAGTTGGGTTGTTTAAAGTTTTAAAGAACTGTAAAGGCAGAGGACTGAAAAAAAAAACATATTTTCGATAATCAGTAGAAAGACAGTTTTATTTGCTCAGCAGGAACGTCATTGCTTTTCTGTCAAACAGCTGCAGGTTGCAGCATCTCTGTGATGAAGCTGCAGAGATGAAGCATCTCTGATCAGGAGGCTGAAGAGGAAAGGATCTGATGCAAAGAGATATTTTATTAGATTATGGTGACCTTTTTAATAAGAATGCTACTTCTTCATGTCTTCAACTGTTGGACTCTGTTTACCATGCTTAATCACAAACATGACACATCACTGTGATCTGCAGGGGCGCCTGGGAAAAAAGTTAGGACGATTTTAAGGGCCCTTGATTGAGGTGGGGCCCAAAAGAGGAGGAAAAGATTTGTTCCTATAGATTTTCTAATATAAAAAAATCCAGCAGTAAAATAAATAATCTTGTGTTCTCTCTCATTTTTTAGCAGTAAACAGTGAAACAAAGCAGGAATATATTGACCATCAAAGTTTTTTGTTTTTTTTTAAAGTTAATGTACATCTAACTTTGTCACATTCTGATCCTTTTCATTTGTAGAAATTTAACAATAAAAATTACATCGAAAATGTTAATGATACTCTAAATTGCATCTTGATAGCAGTTTTAAAGCTTGCATACATGTTTTTTTTTTTGAGGGGGGTGGCGATAGAGTCTTTTATGGGGCCTCAAATGCCTGGCGGCGCCCCTGGTGACCTGTACTCTCAGGTGGGTTGGCCTTCCCTCTCTACGAGAAGTGTCATTGGTACACTTTTATTTTCAAGGCCCTTCTTGGATTACTGCCCTCTTACATTTGTACCTCACTTACAGAGAAAAGCATGGCTTCTTCTGGCCTGAGAACCAACGATCAGCTGTTGCTCCTTTTGCAGCACATAACTGGGGAAGAAAGCCTTTAGCTACGCAGCTCCTTGTGCGTGGAATTTTTTAACAAGGAAACTTGAAGTTGACTGAGTTTTTATCTTTAAATGCTTTTAAATTGAAAGTGAAATAATTTGAAGCAGCCTCAATGAGCTGTAATTGTTTTACTTAATATGTTTTTTTATGTACCTGTCATTTAATTTAATGTATTTCTGTATATTATGTAACTTTGCTGCCTCTTGGCCAGGACTCCCTTGAAAAAATGGTTTTTAATCTCAATGGGATTTTTTCCCTGGTTAAATAAAGGTTAAAAAAATAAATTCTTTAGGTTTCAATGACAAATCTGCATGTTCTTATGTTAAAGTTATTTTATTTATAATCTGGCTTAATACTTTACATGATTTTGTTTTAGTTGCTGGGAATAGACACATAAATACACACCCATGTTTGTTCTGCTAAATGTAGTGAGGACCGTGTGTTGACTCTCATTGACTTCAGTTGATTTTCAGTCATTTTCAACCCTTTCTGTGCCCTAACCCTAAAACTAACCCTAAACATAACCATTACCAGTGCATACCTCAACCTAACCCAATATACACCTTAGCCCTAAACCTAACCAATGGCAAATGACGGTGTGAGGACCAGCAAAATGTCCTCACTTAACAACTGGCCCTCATTGTGACGGTGAAATCGGAAAATGATCCTCGCTCTGAGTTCTATACCATACAAGTGCACCCACCCACACACTCGCATGCAAGCATGTTTCTATATCCTTGTGGGGACTTTCAATTCAAGCCAGTATTACAGCTTAACCATGAGCCTTAACCTAACCCTAACCATTACAGGTTGATACCCAACGCTAATCTTATCCTAAACTCTACCTAAAACAGCATTTGTTTCCATGGAGACCAGACATTGGTCCCCACTAGAACATTGGGTCCCCATGATTTGCTAAGGTTTATGGAAATCTTAGCACATTTTGGAAAACCTCCACATTTCTATTATCAAAGTTAACCTTTCTAATATTTACTCTGTATAATCATGATTAACCAATAATAATAATAATGCTGTTTGCAAATTAATTAATTTCTAAAGCAACTTTTCACTGAAGTCCCCGAAATGGCGTCTTAATGAGATCATGCAAAATGAGCCACTTTATTGCTTCTGACATTTGGACTGAGCTTTAAAAGCACAATGTGGGCTAAACTAACAGCCTCAGCTGCAAAACAAACCTTTTCTACTTATAATGGGATTCTTAAAACTTCATAGAAAAAAGGAAGTTAAAAATTCTTCTTCTTACAAGCTGAATGTAAACACCACTAACTATCCATCTAAGAACATTAATTAATGCTGAAACAATGAATCGGCTTAATCATGATTAACCAATTATTGAAATAATCTTCAACTCATTTAGTAATCAATCAATCATTAACTGGAGTATAGAGACAGTAAAACATGCCTTTTGCTGACAGAGCGACCCACTTAGAGCTGTTATCTATCAAAATTGTAGGAAAAAAAAAATAATAAAAATTTTGCATTTAAGATGAAAGGAAAAAATATTTTTTTTCTGTCAATATTCTCCATCCAGAACTCCCCAAGTGGAAACGTTTTAGTTTGTCAAAAAATCTTCTTTAAGAAATCTTTCGCTATCTGATTATAAATCGATCAATCGAAAAGATAAACAGATTAATCGATTTGCTAAATTATGGCTAGTTGGAGTCCTAGTTGAGAATAATTCTACTAAGACACAAATGCTGCATTCAGAAGAAGCTTTACGTCATTTTTCCCAAATGATTGTGTGGTTTTTCTTTAATCTCCAGAGGAGCCGTATCATACATACAGACTCAACCCCCACTATTGATTGGTTAACTGTCAAGTTTCACCTCCAATACAAGTTTTTTTAAGCTATTACCATAAATTCAGTCACGATCCTCCATATCAAAAATAAAAAAAACAAAATTCTGTTCAATTGAAAAATTTTATCTCAGCATGGACATGTTTTTATTTTTTTAAGATCATCACCTGTTTCTACTCTTAACTACCTGGAGTAGCAAGCAGCCCCACAGCATGATGCTACCTCCATCTTGCTGGACAGCTAGTGGTGTTCTCTAGCTTCTGGTTTACTTTCCTTTTTTAAATTTTTAAAAACTTTCTTCAATGCTGCTAAAAATCGTAATTATTGTTTCAACATAATAAATCTTAACCCCAGAATGCCTTGGCTTGTTTATGTGGGGAGCTGGTAAGCTCTGTCCAGCTTCACGGTTTGATTTTTCACCTAACAACTAGTGTTGCGCCGATGCCATTTTTTGACCCCGATACCTGGCTGTGCAGAATTGACCGATACCCATCCATCCGTTTGAAATGGATGTGTGTGTGTATGTATGAAGAACTGCACACTACTTGGATGTAAAATAATCACCATCATGTCTTTGTCAAGCTGCTGCCTACCTTTGTGAAGCAGGAAAAAGACTAATACAAAGTGAATCCAGTAGAACTTTTTATTGCCTACCTGAAAAGGGTGACAATAGTTGAATAAACTTTTGGCTCTTGAAATGGTATCAGTTTCCTATTTGTTGGTACTCACCGATACCGATGCCACCATTTTAGTGCTGGATTGGGGCTATGCCCGATACTGGTATCTGTATCGGTGCAACACTACTAACGATATCATTCTTATTGTAAGGTTTATTTTTTTTAAGGCTTTATTCTTCGACAAATTATTGTGAAGAAAACCTTTTCTCTATTGTAGATTTGATTGTTCCAGTTACAGCCAACATTACAGTTAGGCCATAGCTTGGTCAAGTTAGAAACTGTTGAAGAACCTTTAGCAGAGCTTGTCTAACAGAGACTTCTGACTGTTTTTTTGTGTGCATTTGAGCGATTAAACGTTTAATTTATGCAAAAATAGTCAGAATGCATGAAAAATGAAGACTTGTGCTTCCATTTAATACTGAGGAAAAACAATCACTGGAAAAAGAAAACTAAAAAAATCCTCAGATTAATAGGAAGTTCTTAACTCCTGATTTGAGTAAAGCTTTGAACTTCACAGCTAAAAAGCTGAGTGTTTTATTTTTTTTACCTTCTTTTCCCATCCTTCTTATGACCAGGAGCAGAGACGGGGAGGGCAAGCTGAATCTACGGTCCGGGTGTCTTACAGCTCCATTCTCATCAACTTTGGGAAATGTTTACTTCTGATCGTGATCGTTCCCCCGTTCCTCAACTACGCGTCGCTGCAGAGAGAAGGACAGGTGCTTCTGCCAAAAGGTATTCTCTCTTATATCAGCAGAGAGCATGTTTGGATTTCTTTTGATAGTCTTTTAAAGTCTTCCCTTGGCAGAGGTGTATAAAATTCTCAGTTTGCCATCAGCTAAAATAAACTCTGCTTTGTATGTTTTGTGTTTGACCTCCAGAGGGGCAGATGGTGGACGTTGGTTTGGGGCAGAAACTGCATCTCTTGTGCAAAGGACGAGGAAAACCAGCTGGTAATAAATGTTCTGCTCTTCACATACATGTTCTCTATGCTGAGCTCTAACTAGTCTGTTATTCATTTTCTCTTTTATAGTTATACTAGATGCACCAACAGGAATGTCCTCTGACGTCTGGTTCTACGTCCAGGAGAAAATTTCCTCTCTGACCAAGGTGATAAATCCACATATTTATGGTGTATGAAATAAAAGAAGTGAATAAATAGTTTGAATGATGCGCTAAGTGCAGGAAACGGGTGATTTTCCTGCTCTTGTGTCCATGTTGTTGGTTACTGTCAGGGTCATGCAGACACAGCCCTTCCAGTCACCCTGTCAGTTCCTTTTTTGCTCAACAACGCTCGGCTCAGCAGCACTGAGCCTGACAGGCTGCCCCATGTTGTTTGTCTGAAGCTGTGACCCAAATTAGGTCACTGGCTTGTTAGGAAGAGTGTAGTTACACAGAAAACAACTAAAGTAGGACAGCAGTGACAGCACTGGCCACTGCCTCAACATCAGTACAGGTTTGGTTGTTTTTTTGTTGTTTTCTTTAAAGGAGACTTCTGGATTATTATTAAAAACAAGCCCTGCCTCAGAGCTGTCCCTGTTTGCCCCCTCCCCTCAGGTTTGTACATATGACAGGGTGGGACTGGGATTCAGCAAGCGAGTGATGCAGAACGAAACGACAGGAACAGAGAAAGTCTGGGGGGCGTCCACAACCGGCCGGTGAGTACGTTACGTCACTCGTCACGGCTCCAACCGTATTTTGGTTTGATGGTTTGGGTCAGATGGTTGAAACCTGGACATGATTAGTCCTTTTAAATGTTAAATAAATTATTACTTTAATAAGAGGGAAAAAGTTCTGCAAAGCCACCTGCTCGTATGTAGCAAAGATAAAAGCCCCCAGTTTAACAACACATCACTGTGTTGTTTAGAAATTAGGAAAGATGTTTCAAGTGACTGTTTCCCAGAAAGAGAAGCTAGTTTTTACCAAACAGTCTAATTTGTTTCATATAAAGTAAAGAAATAAGTCTGACGATTAAAGCAAAACACAAACAGTTAACTGTTTAGTGTAAGTCCGACCAATAACCTTCTGACGAGCTTTCCTGCAAACAGAATGTTGAATTTATGGAAATGTTAACAAAGAATAAGCAAAACTGTAACGATCTCAGAACGTCGGACCCAGAATTCGAGGTGCGACAGGCAGTGGGAAAGTTCAAAGCGTTTATTTAAAACAAACAGGAGCACAGGGATGCTCGTCAGCTACAAGCGAATCTCTGCAGAGACAGGAAATACAGGTCAGTGACTGGATGTGGGGCTGATCACGACTAGGAGCAAAAATCACAGACCTGATTCAAAGTTCAGTCTGTTCTCTGAGAAAAGAGTTGAATCCAAATGGGAAGTTAATCCCCGGCTTGCGGAGGGCGCCGCCCCCAGAGTTCCTAGAGAGAGAGCAGAGCAGCCACCAGCCGACGCCGAGAAGCGACAGTGTCCTTGAGAGGAAATCCAAAGCCGGAGTCAGAAGACAGGTCCAGGTTCAGAAGCCGGAAGAATCCAGAACAGATGCGACTAACAGAGCAATCAGGGGCGAAGCAAAACATGGGATCCCCGGGGCAGAAATAGGTCACAATCAGGAAAAACAGAACAAAATTCAGAAAGCTAGAGTTAGTCTCACCGAAACGCTCGAATAACCAGGCCCTGATGGAAGGCAAGCACACAACATAAATAGCAGAGGAACCGGATGGAAATGATCGCCGTTAATCAGCTGCAGAACCAATTAGACAGGGGAGCAAAGAAAAAAACCCAAACCATCAGCGCCAAGATCATGACAGAAACATCATCCAACTGATTTATTTTTATCTATTTATTGAAATAATCGAATTTCCAAAGAATAACAATAACTCAACAATAAGGATCCAAAATCGATGCTTGATCTCATAATATTGAGATCAGGATCGTATCTTGTAATTCTGAGATCAGTATCTCTTTATTCTGAGAAAAGAATAAAGTGATCATAAGATAATTACAAGATACTGATCACGTAATTATGAGATAAGTTGTCCGATTTGTTTTTTTCATTGGTAAATGCGATATGCTTCCGTAAACAGGCATAGGAGTACTTCTTCATGCTTTGGTGTAATGGCGGACCGCTAGCCAAACAGCGTATGAGTTACACTTAAAGCCTTACTATATAACGTCATAGTGGCACATACACAAAATGACACAAAATGGACTTATTGACAAACAAGTAGCCAATCCACTTCACAAAGTAGCCAAAGTGGATTGGCTAATGTTTTCCACCACGGCCAGAGTTTATGGATTTTAATTATTCATTTTTTAAGGGCAACGATAATTCCAAGAATGCCAGCCATCAGTTATTTCATTTTATATGAATCTGGACATATATTTCTGAGAAAAATCCTCTTTCATACCAAAAAGTTTTATTGATGGATAAAATAGATTTATTGCTCAGCTTTACCAAAACTCCTGCTGCTGTAGGTTAAAACCTGCTCTAGAACTATCGGAAACCTCTGACCCCTCTAGTTATAAACAAGGGTTTTTTCTACCAAATATGTCCCTTTTTTCCTATTGTGTCAAATGAATGTTTCAGGAATTGAAATGAGAATTAATAGAAGTGGAACTCTGATGGAAATCAGACTTTTCTGTTTTTTGTAAAAGTGGCATCATTGCTTTGCATCAAATGTCCTCTCTGCTCTTCGCTCCTTTTTACATTTAGCTTTAGCTTATTGTTGTCTCCATCTTTCATGCCGGTGACCTCTGGCCCACCTGGCAGCTGGGATGAATGTCCTGGCCCAGTTTGCAGCGTGTCCTGATTGTGATGAGTGTAATGTGTTGCAGGATGGTGGACGATCTGCACCGACTCCTGCGGGCTGCAGAAATAGCCCCCCCATTCATACTCGTTGGCTCAGAGCTCGGAGCGCTCAACAGCAGGTTCTACAGCCACATTCATGACGTGTAAGTCTTCTAAGATGGAAACACAAAAAAAAAAAATCTTCTGGGTTAAGTCTATAGAGGGTTTTGTTGTTAGGAGAAATGCTTCTTGTTCCCTAAGGGAATATTTCAAAGTGGGGAGTAGAAAACCTTTGCTCCAAACAAGGTTAATAAAGACGTATTGGGATCGTAGTTCTCTATATATAACCTCCAGACAAATTGCTTGATTAATAGCATCAGATGCTTTTAGCTTTTCCAAGGAAACTGCAATAACTCTACACTATTAGAATATTCATATAGGGTTTGAGGTGGTCTGCAACGTTAGCTTAAAACCACTCCCAGAGACTGGTCCCATTTAATAAGTCATCTGAAGGCAATAATAACTCTCTGCAGTATTACCATTAAAACTACATTCCCCCCATTTCAGATTGGTGACGTGTCCCATTTATTTTCTGTTTTGTAATTTTATTGGTGTAGCGGCTAAAATCCTATATTTAGGCGACTGGTTGCTATTCCTGAAAGGCGTTGGTTTTACTTGCTCTCAATTAAGACTATCATGCCGATCTTTACTTTTACTTATAATAACGTAATTTATTAACATAACAATGCCCATGGTTTTACTAATTGCCTTTACATATATACATAAATTCGACATTGATCTAAAGCAAACACAGTAGAAAAGTGTTGCCTCCTCTCGTTAACAACACCTGAACAGAAACATAATTACCATAAGCCCATCCCCCATCAAATGATCAGAACTCATAATGAAATACGCCCCCTGGTGGTGATAAACACAGGACCGGAAAAATGGCTCCTATAACTACAAAATGCGTATTATGTCAATGATTACTGCCTGAGCTAATTAGTTAATACAAAAATAAACCGAAAAATATTACACAAAAAATGGAAGATAAACAAAACACTAAACAGTGCATTTAAAATATATTCATAAAATATAGGTGTTTATATATTTATTATTGTTTATTATAGGCAGAAAATGGACATGGCTTCATGCTGTAGTCGGGTTATTATACCTTCAAGATCAATTATGTATCTATAGATGAATTATAGGTATAAATATAACAAGCTCATATATCTGATAAGATCTTATAGATGGCATCTGTATTTTTATGTGTTTATTATTTTTATTTACAGGTGTTGACCACTCTGTAGTCCCAGAGTAGATTCCCCCACATTAAACGGAATCAACCATTAATTAACTCTCTGCCTGAAACCACCTTTTGGAGTGTTTTTAATTTTTCCTACCTCCCTTCCTGTGAAAACATTGATCAGCTGGCTCATTTAAATATAAATTGACATCTATGCGGTGCTTTGCATGGACCATTTATGGTTGAATATTAGCGTGTAGAGAGCTGAACATGAGGTGGAGCATTATGGCGCTGTCACACCTCAACGATGTAGCCGACGTTTGCCTGACGTACGAAAAATCTGGCAAAAACGCTGCCTTTTGTTGGATAAATTATACGTAAGTTTTGTATAAGGTATGAGCACGCTGAAACACGCGGGCACACGTCGACATATGGCAAGTATGGCGAAAAAATTTTGAGCATGCTAAAAATTTCCTGACGTATGTGAGTGTATAACATACGTGGGGCATAAGTTACAGACAACTTATCTGATGGTTGACGTACGTTAAGTTTAAGTTACTCATAAGTCATTGCTTATCCAAAACCTATGAAGAACTTATGAATAACTTATCAAGAACTTATCTCCAACACATATCAACATATTTGTCGTGTTCCAGACGACCGCTGTACGTGTTTCTAACAGCCAGGGGCGGATCTAGAAAAATATTTATGGGGTGGCAAGAGGGGGACAGGAATTTTTTAGGGGTGGCAACATATGGCATTTGTTTACACTGAATTTAATCACAGTTATCACAGTTTGGTGAGAATAGTATGTACAGTACTAGTGTTTCATGTGAAAAAGTTCATATTAATAATACATCGTACTATGTGATCTCACTTAATAGGAGATAGAAGAATGATAACACTACTTCTAGAGGGGCCTTATGACAGGAAAGGTATTAAGGTGAGACACAGGTGCTGAGTCGCAGATGTGTGAGACTGACTGTCAGAGAGGCAGCTTTGCAGCATTTGCACAAGAAGAAACTATAGAAAGAAAAAGTTACCCATCAGAGATCTATGGACTGAGCTGTACTAAAGTGAGCATAACTACACAGTAGAAATAAATGGGTCAAGGCACCCGAACAAGGTACCAGACATCTATGTATTGTTTACTCTGAACACATATTTACCCCATTTGTTCCTCAGTAACTTGACATACAGCAGTTAAGGCAACATGAAAGGGACATTTCATGCATGTAAATATGCTGTAGATAGAGCTGTATATGGAGGACCAACTCTGCCATATTTAAAAATAAATACAGAAATAAATAAATGCTCAATAAATAAATAAGCATACAATTAATTGCCACCAAAAATACAATCAACAAATAAATGTAATTAGAAATTATATTATAATGGCAGGCAGAAATGTTAAAAGGGCAGGCAGAAAGAAATAGCGGCGAAGAAATAACTAGGGTAAAAAAATACAAAGGAAGAATAAAACAGACAAAAATATGATAACATGCACATAAATAAATACTTAAAAATATAAGTAATTAAAAAATGAAGTTGAAGATAGTAAATGACAAAAAAATAAATAAGGTAAATATTAAAAAGGCAAAGAAATAAAGAAGCCAATTAAAAGAGTTATATACCTTTATGACTAGCTGTATAATTTAATTTCTACTTACATTTATTTGTTGTTTGTATTTTTGGTGGCAATTAATTGTATGCTTATTTATTTATTTCTGTATTTATTTTTAAATATGGCAGAGTTGGTCCTCCATACTGCTGTATCAACAAAAACAAAAAGGCAGGTACTGTATGTTACATCAAAATCTCCACAAATCTGAAAAGAAGCAACATAAAAATACATTTTGCTTGTGAGTAGGTTCATACAGGTAATTTCTGGATAGTTTCATATTATATATACAAAAAAAGAAACAACAACACTGCTTCATATTGAGCCGGATTCACACCAGTATCACATTTTTAACTTTTAACACTTTTGGTTTTATTAAAGGAAATATCAGATCTTCTCAGGTGCCAAAACAAAATGTAACAGCTCTGTAAAGGCTCACCAGAGAGCAGAACATAAAGTTAACATGACTATAACAGCTGAATGCGGTGATTTCCATGTTGCTAAGCAAAACGCTTCACAACTTTATTTAGATCCAATGCCTTTGTGCGTTTTGATTTGAGTACAACCAAACTTGATCGTCTCTTTTCTGTCATAGTTGACCGCAAATATGTCTTTATGAGCCTGAGACGTCAGGCCTAACTAACATCATAGTTAGAGAAATAACGTTCTGCAACCTGATTTTTATCATCTCAAAATCAGCCATGCAGCTATGCTAGCAACATTGTGCTTTCATTATGATTTAATTTCTCGATAGATAGTTAATCAATTTTTACCTGTTTCATCCCGTTTCTCCTCTCCCCATGATCCCTGGCTCCCTCGCTTTGCCCCATTCGGTTTTCAAAACAATCAGTCTCAGTCGCTCTCGCGTCATCTCGTGCTGCATTCACTGCAGTCCGACATTGGAAATTAGCGGTCGTAATTCTCAAATGATCCATAATTTATAAGCCTCGCCACCCCTACCGCCAACTGGGGTGGCAGCTGGGGTGGCAAGGCTGTCATTTAGGGTGGCATTTGCCACCCTATGCCACCCCAGTAGATCCGCCTATGCTAACAGCTGCTGTTTAATGGCGTATTGGCAACGTTTTGGTATGATAGGGGAAACCGTCAGTAGTCCTCCAGACTTTATGGTGAGCAGACGTTCCACAAGAGATGGAGGATCCGGCAAGGATGAGACGGGAATCCATACAACCTCAGCATCATCTCATCACTTTTTTGGTGGGCCGTAAACGGCAACTAGGTTAACACCGCAACTGCCAAGGTTAGATAAATCTTCCTGTGCTTTTTATGCAGGCTGGGCGCCTCTAGGCACATTGCTGCCCCCCTCAGGACACTGGCTTCTGACCTATTATGGGAATTACGCTGCGTTATGCATAAGTTAGGCTGTCATTGGACATAAGTTGTGGACTTGTTATGAATACATTATGTATACCCCCAAAGCATGTACCAACATTTTTGAAGATTCTGGTACGTCGGGCATAGGCTGTCTACAGGTGCTGGTCATAAAATTAGAATATCATGAAAAAGTAGATTGATTTCAGTAATTCCATTCAAAAAGTGAAACTTGTATATTATATTCATACATTACATACAAACTCATATATTTCAGATGTTTATTTTGTTTAATTTTGATGATTACAAATGACAACAAATGAAAATCTCAAATTCATCATATCAGAAAATTAGAATATTACTGAAGACCAATAAAAACAAAGGATTTATAGAAATGTTGGCCAACTGAAAAGTATGAACATGAAAAGTATGAGCATGTACAGCACTCAGTATTTAGTTGGGCCTCCTTTGGCCTGTATTACTGCAGCAATGCGGCGTGGCATGGAGTCGATCAGTCTGTGGCACTGCTCAGGTGTTATGATAGCCCAGGTTGCTCTAATAGTGGCTTTTAGCTCTTCTGAATTGTTGGGTCTGGTGTATTGCATCTTCTTCTTCACAATACCCCATAGATTTTCTATGGGGTTAAGGTCAGGAGAGTTTGCTGGCCAATTAAGAACAGGGCTACCATGGTCCTTCAACCAGGTACTGGTAGCTTTGGCACTGTGTGCAGGTGCCAAGTCCTGTTGGAAAATGAAATCTGCATCTCCAAAAAGTTGGTCAGCTGCAGGAAGCATGAAGTGCTCTAAAACTTCCTGGTATGTGGCTGCGTTGACCCTGGACCTCAGAAAACACAATGGACCAACACCAGCAGATGACATGGCACCCCAAACCATCACTGACTGTGGAAACTTTACACTGGACTTCAAGCAACGTGGATGAAGTGCCTCTCTTCTTTTCCTCCAGACTCTGGGACCTTGATTTCCAAAGGAAATGCAAAATTTACTTTCATCAGAGAACATGACTTTGGACCACTCACCAGCAGTCCAGTCCTGTTTCTCTTTAGCCCAGGCAAGACGCTTCTGACGCTGTCTGTGGTTCAAGAGTGGCTTGACACAAGGAATGCGACAGCAGAAACCCATGTCTTTCATACGTCTGTGTGTGGTGGTTCTTGAAGCACTCACTCCAGCTGCAGTCCACTCTTTGTGAATCTCCCCCACATTTTTGAAGGGGTTTTGTTTCACAATCCTCTCCAGGGTGCGGTTATCTCTCTTGCTTGTACACTTTTTTCGACCACATCTTTTCCTTCCCTTCGCCTCTCTATTAATGTGCTTGGACACTGAGCTCTGTGAACAGCCAGCCTCTTTAGCGATGACCTTTTGTGTCTTGCCCTCCTTGTGCAAGGTGTCGATGGTCGTCTTTTGGACAACTGTCAAGTCAGCAGTCTTCCCCATGATTGTGTAGCCTATAGAACTAGACTGAAAGACCATTTAAAGGCTTTTGCAGGTGGTTTGAGTTAATTAGCTGATTAGAGTGTGGCACCAGGGGCCATCCATTTTGAACCTTTTCACAATATTCTAATTTTCTGATAGGATGAATTTGAGATTTTCATTTGTTGTCATTTGTAATCATCAAAATTAAACAAAATAAACATCTGAAATATATGAGTTTGTATGTAATGTATGAATATAATATACAAGTTTCACTTTTTAAATGGAATTACTGAAATCAATCTACTTTTTCATGATATTCTAATTTTATGACCAGCACCTGTAAATGCTCAAGATGTGACAGCGCCGTAATGTTCAAACTTTGAGCTGCAGCTTTGATTTAAAAAAGACAATTTCTTGATCTCTTGCCTGCAATAATAAGTCAGAATGTACACAAATATGTATGTGTATATATATACAGAGATAGATTACAGAACATTCGTAGATAATATGAAATCAAGTTTTTCCTGTTGATGATGAACCTTATAGATTTAAAAAAGGACATGGAAAATGTAAAGGAAAACACGACAACACCAGAAAGAGCAGCTGTACATAAAAAGGAATAAAAAGGAATGAGTTTATTTTGGAGCAGAGGGGGCCTGCTGCGGATCAGGCATTATATTAGACACCCTTAGAGAAAGCGTATTTCTAGGTCAGCTAACATCCTGAGAACGGGTCTTCTCTGTAAGCAGATCAAAGTGAGGGTGGGCTTTGAGCTGCTGCAACATAAACTTGTTGGGGGGAGCCTGGTGTTACTGGAGGTTTCTCTCTGTTAGAGTGGATTTGTTGCTCTCACTGTCGCCCTGTGCTTGTTGCATGAAGATAAACTAAACTACAGTTAAAATTTCTTATCTAAAAAAAAAAAAATGCCTTTGTTTGCCCCTCATAAGAAACAAAGATTAATGAATTGAAATGAACGGCTTTGAATCTGAACCAGTCTGACTAATATAACAAAAGAAGCCATGATTTTCTCTCTCTGTAGCGAGAAACAAGCTGTTTAAACCTACCCTCTCATGCTGTGTGTGGTTCATATGGTTCCACATGTCTTTTTTAAAACTGATTCATGTTTAGATTTTGTTGAGCCTTCCAGGGTACCTGGATATACCTCTGTATAATCTTATATTGGCTCATCCTCATGTTTGGTTTACTTTTTTGCTTGAGATGTTTCCTGCACCATGTCAGAGCTTGGTGCATTTGCAACGGTTGAGGGTTGTCAGCGATATCACCGTAGTAACAATTTCCCTGTCAGGGACTCACTTTTAGAAAGAAACTGTCAACGTTTAAGATAGTGAAGCTGTTAGGTATTTCTTCGTATCGAGGCAGTGGGATGTTTGTCTGCAGCTAAATCTGAATGTTGCTGTTTAAAAAAAAAAAGAATTGTTTGTTATATTATAATAACAGATTTTATTACTGTTTCTAAGGGGTTGTTAATTTCCACAAATGTTTGGGCTGAGGTGGTTCAGACATTACTCATGGGGATCTTTGAGAATGGACTAAAAATGTATTTAAACAAACTGGATCAAAGCAACCTACTCTATTATAAACGTGTTGTCACTGACGTCAGTTATTGATCAAGTCCGACCGTAATATTTTACACCCACATAATCCCACCCTGTCTGAAGTTATGGTGTTTGATTTGCTTTAAGTATCGGTGCTAGGTGATAGCATTGCAGTTTCCAGCTTATAGACGCTCATATTTTCCATAGCAGCTTCAGAGTCAAGACCACCTCGACACAAACTATGGAGTCAATTTTGTTCCATATATGTTGCAAAAATGTATTGTTTTAATGGAAATTTGAAGCAAAATACAATCCATAAATGAAACTCTGAAAACATTTTAATCCAGTGATGGTTTAAGAGTCACCTTGCTTTTTTGTGATGTATTTTATGTTTTACAGATTTTATATTTTCAAATAATTTTTTCTTTTAAATTGAGTTTTATGAAAGGTAATATTTTTAAATTACATTTCACAGATCAGATTGTTTTTCCTTCAAACCCAATACAAAGCCTCACATTTGACCATAAAAATGTTGCTAACTTCCAATAGAAATGTGTAATCTGTAAAAGATAATTAGAAAAGAATCCAAGCCAACTCTGAGCCAGCTCCCATGTCAGAGGATGAAGAGAGCACATCCAGCCAGTCACAGTCAGAGAAACGGGACTACACTGAAAAACAGGCCGATCTCCAACGTCTATAAACAAAGGTGCAGATGGCAGCAGCACAGCTGATATTTCTCTCCATGATGGAGTCACAACCAAACAGGAACAGACCAGATGAAGCTACTATGAAAAAAAGCAAAGAGAGCAGAACGTTAGAGATTGAACTAATAGATTGTGCAGAGTGGGAGAATAGAGATAGAATGATGAAATAGGGGTCCCTATGTCCTCCAGCAGTCTAAGCCTATAGCAGCATAACTATAGAGATAGCTCAGGATAACCTGAGCCACTTTAACTATAAGCTTTATCAAAAAGGAAAGTTTTAAGCCTAGCCGTAATAGTAGACAGGGTGTCTGCCTCACGGACTAAAACTGGTAGTTGGTTCCACAGGAGAGGAGCCTGATAACTAAAAGATCTGCCTCCCATTCTACTTTTAGAAATTCTAGGAACCACTAGTAAACCTGCAGATTGAGAGCAAAGGGCTCTGTTAGGAACTGTGAGGGCCAAAAATAAAAAAAAAAAAATCAGAGAAACACAGGGAAGTCATTGATGAAAAATTGTAACAAATTTATTTTGCAAAAATAAAGTTCAAACTTCAAACAAGACTGGGCCCATCAAGGAAAACAACCTACCTACGTAACTGACACACAAGGGAAACATATATATATATATACACTGGTTGATCAGACCATTTTGAAACGAGAAGGAAACAAAATACGTTTTTCCTAAACAAAACTACAACAAAAAACAAAACTAATCAGCACAATACTAAATCAGCAACCTATGAGGAAAAGGACTTAAATATTAAACGTTCCAAATGTAATTATAGAAAACAAAACCAAATACAGAAACCTAAACCCTTCCTACACCCCTTCTAAATGTAAGAGGAAGAGTCCAACAGGGCCTCCATGTCAATGAGGAGATCCTTTGCAGCTGGGGCTGATTCACTCATGACAGCCTCCCAGGAAATGGCAACTCAAATGAAAAATATATTAATGTACAGAAAACCAAGCGAGAAATGACAAAATGAGTCAACTAAATGTGTGCACCCAAATAGTCAACCAATGCCAAATCAAAGTAGAAAAAAATGAAATACAGTACAGTAAAATAGAAGATTTAATGAAAGAATTACCAGACCATTTGTTGTGTGGTTGCACATGCAGATATCGCAGGAACATAAGGCACAATCAGATCTCTAATAAAAGATGGACATTGTCCATTTAAGGCTTTATTTGTGTTAAATTCTATTCTTAGATATAATATGATCTCTATTTTTAATTTTTAATTCAAATTTTTTTTTTTTATTAGATATTTTTTATAGATATTAGCAGATATCCGAGCTGGTCAATTTTCAGGTTTTAAGCTGAAGATGTTCCAGTATCCTTCCCCATCAACCAGCATAATTCAACCACCTCTCTGACAACTTGGTGATTAACATGTCAGCATCCTCGTACCAGTGCGGAAGATTTACAGTTTTATTTGGCACAACGTTCCTGTCGTTAAGAGAATGATATAGGGATGGGTTGAAGAAACCTTTCCAAATGGAAATATTACCTGAGAGTATGTGGTGCCATAAAATGACAAATCTGCAGCATGACGGCCGGGATGGCACCATCTATTTCACGCTCATTATGGCCTAGGCTTGGAGGGTAAAGTGGTCGAGTTTTCGTAGTCTTACTTCGTCTGAGTGTGTGTGTGTGTGTGTGTCCTTGTCCTCAGGCAAGTGTCAGACCTGGTGCTGATAGATCCCATCCCGGAGGACATTTTTGAAGAGGACCAATGGAAGGAGTACTGGTGAGTACATTGGATGCTGCCTGTCTGTGGGAGGAGGAAAAATGTGGAGGGTGAAGGAGCTTAGAATGAATATTAGGAAGCAGAGAAAGAGGGGAGATGGAAAGCTTTAAAGTTGATTTGTAATAAAGGAAACAGAGAAAAAAGATGTTTCATGTATGCATCTGATTAGTCTGCTGGGTGGGGCTCATTAGCATGATTAATTGGAGGCCAAGGAAGCTCGTTAGCAGCCTGTAGCCTTCTGGCAGGAAACAGATGAGTGGGGAACAAAGTGTTGTGGCAGCGGTTGGGACTGGGTTTCTAAAAGTGTAAAATACACCCTGTTTAATCTGCATGGGATGATTCAACGTGGAGTGGTAGTCTTAGCCGCAGCACATGTTTCATTATTCTGTACTTATCATACATGAGAGAGCAGAGGAGGACCGTCGATTTAAATGCCAGTTATGCAACACTTTCCGTGTCTGATTGCTAACAAGTACAGCATGTCCTATATAGTTGTCAAATGGTACGGCACCACTTCAGATTTTGTTATGAGTGTATAATTGATCAAATCATCAAAGGCTTTTGGATTTCACTGACAGCATAGCCTCAGCGTGTGCGTGGTAAATCGCATCTCGAAAGCACATCGTTCACGGTTTTCTCAGTTTGCTGTTCAAAGAAGACACAGTGGATGGATATCTTCCATAAGCAGGTTCTCATATTGAAAAAATATTGAAGTGTCTCATGCACTGCCAAAAACTGAACTCTAAGTCAGTTTCTTAAAGTAAATGCACTTTTTTTTATTGAAGAAGTTAGGTGAGACACTTTGCTACTGCAAAAACACAGTTTACTTTAAAAAACAAACAAACAAACAATCGCGTTGTTATTCCAAGTACATAATGTTTAATGAACTAGTTAAACTACTCATTCCATTGAGAGATCATCTTATTTACCTACTCAAATTAATGAATGATCCAGGATCACTATTAGCAGGTATTTATGGTGATACTGATACTGGGTGGTCCTTAAGACAACTATTCATTCCCCCTGTGTTTCACTTTTTTTTTTTTTTTTTTCACAAAAGGAAAATTATACGCTATAGTCCTGTTTTTTTTTACCCTAAAAAAAAAGCGACAAGGAGAATCACATAAGTGGATAGTAGTACCATTGGCGACAGATGCGTGGTGTCTAATTTGTGCTCTGGCAGTGATGAGAAAAGTTAGTGTTGGCTCTAGAAAAAGGCCGCCCCTCACTTCAACTTGGTTAAATGGTAGAAGGTACTGCTTGTCTGCTCCTGTGCTTGAGGTTCTGCAATGGTTGCTAATAATCTTTGCTTAGTTAAACTTCTTTAAAAAGCAGCGCTGTGGCTTGCATGCAGGATGTCTTATATTGTGCAGTGTCAGCTAAAATTTCTAACTAAAAGTTAATATATGTAAAATCCCACATATAAAAAGAACCCAACGAGTAAAGTGGTAAAAGCATACTAATTGAGTTATGCCCATGAGGATGTTGCAAGTCCAAAGAAAACTATTAGCTTGCAGCTTATATAAGCATGAGTCAAGCCAGATAAGAAACGGATCCCTGAAAATGGCCTAATTTGTACGTGACTCAAAGTGGAGCAGCAGCATTTATCAGGGGTATGTGTCCAATTATCCTCTGATTAATAGGCATACATTTAAACAAGTACATGACAGTGCAACCACAATCCAATTACTCTGCGGAGAAGCAATGCAGAGATGAAATGAAGCAAATGACTTACGTTTATGCAGGGGGAAAAAATTATCTCAGCTTTATATCAGTTCAGGGAGAAAATAGTGAGAAGAATTGAGATATGGGGTTCTGTAGGGTGATGTAAAACACTTTTCACAATATTTCTATTCACTTTCTCTCTCTGCAAAATTGCATGTCAGCAAGCACTTCTCTATCTTAGGGCCTGCTATTATTAGCTGTCAAAAGTCTGGCAGCATTTGGTACACAGGTTCAATAAGACAGACTGGAGGAAGACTGCATGTGAGCAGGATTGTGGAGAGACTGTATCAGCTTTGCTCTGGGACGGGATTTACACATCAAAGACCAAGTCATTAACACAGACTCGCTCCCAAGATTACTTCTGTTACATCCCTACAAAACGGATCAGCAGCATCTCTTGAGAAAGGGGTGTGCAGGTGTCTGTGTAGGTATTTTCCTGTGTGCCGTTTTTTTGAAAGGGGTCAGCATCTTATTGGGGGATTTTCCTCTGAAGACATAACAGCAGGTGTCTCAGCCCCTTTCATGTAGAGATTATGCAGCCTGATGAGGAATCCAGCAGTGTGTCTTGGATCAGAGATCAGAAGCAAAGTGTGTATTTGGACAAACTGCATGCATGACAAGAACCACTTATTGGAGCTAGAGGGTGCTGCAGGAGCTTTCCCCTGAATAAGTGAGATTTTTGATGAAACCTTTTATAACTGTTGTTTGAACATTTTTGGTAATTCATTATACAGTCTAAATAAGCTCAATTCCATCTGCTATTCTCAAAGGAAGAAACAGTAGATTCCTGTACATATTTAACTTCCATAGATGTAGAAATGAAAATTTTTTTTTTAAGATGTTTTAGTGTCTTTATTATTTTTTTAAGTTTCCACACTTCCTCATCCAGTTTTGGGAGTGCAAGTCATTCAGTTTATCAAAAGGAGAACCCATTCTATATATAAATAAGCTGCATCTTTAAAGTTGTCCCCATACATTTGGTGGTCCACTGGGTCACCGGCCCATTGGGCAAGTGACTTTCACATTTCATTTGCCCAGAAACAATTTTTACTTGCACAGTATAATGTTTGATAAATATAGTTCCTAATATTCATTTTTGTATATATATCAATGAAACATGTTAGTTTTTAAAATGCTTTTTGTAATTGAGTATTTTTTAAGTTTACAGGTTCCTGGTGTGTATATGCAGGAGTCGGATAGTAGGGGTGTAAATCGCATCCATCATGGCGATTCGATTCAGTATCGATTTCCTGACCCAACGATTCGATTATTTTCGATACTCAAGAATACACCACGATTTGATTCGATTAATCGGTTAATTTTTTTATTTAAAAATTTTTTTTTTTACACCTTACAGGCTAAACAAAGTTTCAAGTTTGAAATAAATCAATGAAAGCTGTAATATCGTTATGCATTTTTTTTTGTTGAAACAACAGCAAATAACAGAAGTAGAAAAGTTGCATCAAAAAATACTGCAAAAATACTGCACATAATCAGTGCAATGAGTGCAATGCAATACCTCGGCTCCAGACGTCCCCGCCCCCTCCACAGACGCTCTGCTGCACCTCTATCAACTTGTAGCTGTCCGCAAACAGTGCTGCAGACAGGAGGCCGGCTTGTTTTGTTTTTATGACCAAAATTGTGGAAAACAACTTGTGAAGTTTGACCCGCTAGAAGAGTGAGGTGCGCGAGAACGCTGGGACCCTTTTTCCACCTGGATCTCCGCTCTTTTTGGCCCTCATGTCCCTCCGTCGTCGGACTAAACTCGCCCCCACTTCCTCGCAGCCTCGGCCGTATCTAGACCAACAACGTGTAGCACAGACCACGCTTCAATATTGAGCATAACTTAAAAATGTCTGTGTGAAGCTTAGTATAACACACTGCTGTAAGAGTATAACCAGGAAGCGAGGTAGGAGGGCAAAATAGGTTTAGCGCCACCGCAGCACGGGAGGGAGAATTACGCCCAGGAGCAAATGGATAAAAATAGACCGGAGGAAAAAAAAAACTTGAATCGATTATGTTGCGGACGTGTCGATGCATCGGATCGTCGGCTGTTAGATCGATGCATCGATACAAAACAACTATTATTGACACCCCTATCAGATAATGAACTCAAGCCTACATTACCGTTTTAACATGCTTTTCAATCCTTCCTGCACATTCTTTTCAAACTAAACTTTGCTTTAAACTGTTGTGTGCTTGGAAAAAAATAAATTGTAATGTTAAAAATCTAGAAAGAAATTGACAGGTTAAAAACTTAAGATGAATCACAAGACAGAAGTCAATGTAACAAATGAATAACTTTTATTTTAGAGTCGGTATGTTTATACAAGATAATACTATTAATATAATGTGACTTTTCTAGAGAACCATTATACATAGCTATTTTATACAGGGTTTCCACAGTCTTACATCATTTCAGAAGTCCCTGACTTTTAACTGACTCAGGATTAGTTTTCCCTGACAATTCTGCCAATTTTCCTAATCCCTGACCAATAATTTTTAATCTAGGGTTATCTGGGTGGTTGGTGAAATGGGCGGAGGGTAAAATAGGTGGTGGGTGTGCTACTCTACTTACTTATTTTTTTGCCTTGTTTTTTTTAGCCTGCCAAGTCGAAAAAAATGTGTCTGATTCGCGCCAATTCCCGGACATAAATCATGCCATCTTGCGGAAAATCTCGCAGCTTTTTCAAATCACGCAGGAATATGTACAAAACAACAAAAATGGCGCCGGCAACGCTTGTGGGTCCTTTTTTAAGCGAATGTCGGTAATTTAAAAGTAATTTTGAGTGATAAATTTTTTTTGCGATCATTGCATTTGCCCAGCGGGCAAATTCAATGAAATTTGTGCTCTCCCGAGTCCCGACAATGCCCCGGGCGATCGGCGATGGTTAACATCCAGCCCTGTTTTAGGAATCACACATCTATGGGATTTCTAGTTTAAATGAGCAGTGTGAAGAGGCTGATTATTCATCAAGCTTTTTTTTTGTTAACATAAGTTGTTTTCCTTTTTGCACAACTGCTGTCCTCCTGTCGTTTTGCACTTCTCTACACTTACGGAGATGCGCAGGGAGCGTGTCAGTCATTGTCACATTGGCAGGTTGGAGCTGCTGCTGGGAGATCATTACACTACCAATGACTTTAAGTTGTTTTAAAAGGTAGAAAAAAATCAATTGATCAATTTCTTTATTGTCAACTACAATTTACATCGTAATCAAGATTTCAGTTTAAGTACAAACTGTTCATCACGTACATAACATACGTTGGGGTGGGGT